TTTTTTTTTNTTTTTTTTTTTTTTTTTTTTTTTTTTTTTTGGCATTACTCAGAGTTTATGGCTGTGGCCCTCTTTGATTTTCTTTTCTTTGTGATCAACTCCTTTGTACTGTAGTCTTAAGTCTTAAGTGTACTGTAGCACTAAGTTCTACTTACTAAGATTTGCATTTATTGATTCTTTTAAATATTCTGTACAAATTTTTAAAAAAAATCCATCAAAGTTGCTACACTGTTCTTCAAGTTGAAGATTAAATTTATTTTTATCGTAGATAAAATAAGTCTTCCTTGGGCATAATGAAACTGAGTAGTCATAGATGAAAGACTTAATGCAGCAGAAACCCTTTGTGATGTCCATTAGACCATATTAATGCATGAAATCATGTACTGAATTTTGGAGAAATTATAGAAAATATTCAGGATATTATCTTTGCCAAGTAGTAAGTTACACTTGCCATTTATGTTTCTTACTAGCAGTTTGATCTTATCCTTCATTGTTTCTCTATAAGCTTTTTCTCCATTCTTTAACTCTAAGGACTCTCTCAGGCAGGTATTTCAATTTTTTTGATGTAAAGCCCGTTTATTAAAGTGCTTATTGTATCTCTAACCCAACTACATTTGTAGGTTTTTTTTCTGCAGTAAGTTTTTGCTATCCTCACAGTTCTTTCCGGGTGTTTATCTTTGCTAACTCCTTCCAAGAATAATGTGGTCTGTTAACATGAACTTGGTAAGTGTCTTCCAGCACAGAAATCGATCATTTTACTTCATAGATGTGTATCCAGCAATGTACTACGAAGCAGTATTAAGCAACGAAAACAATGGGCAAGCAAGATAGAGTTATGGGAATAGGAGGAGAATAGTATGTGGCATGGAGAGGAATTTAAGAATGCAGGCATGCAAGAGGTGAAATCTTGCATGTTTGGAGATGGCAAATCAGGAGGGATGTGGGTATGATAATATTGATTATGAACTTGAACAGATAGCTTATTCAAGGGACAAAGAAATGAGAAGGATGTCATAAAACAGAAGAATATGGGTGTTTCATGCCAGAACTAATGACTATATATGTGTTTTCAGCAGGACTTCAGAAACAGATACTGTTCCCCAATATAATCTCTGGCAAAACCGTTCTTCTCTTTTTTGTGCATCAATTTCTATTACATTCCTATGCATTAACATTCTTCCTATTCCTTCAGATATACCTGCAGTACTGAGTGAGATGAAGTCTGTCTCTACATCACTGTCTAGGCCTGACAGCTAAGGCATTTTTATGTCCATTCAGTTTCCTTTTGCTGAGGCAAGTTTATCTTCGAACACTGCATCTCCATCAGAAATCTTTTTTACACAATTCAATATTGTGTATTTGTCTGTATTAGTTTCGTTAGTGATTATAGCTTTAAAATCTGTTATGCAAGCAAGCAGATAACAATATATTTTCCTTAGTACCATAGAATTCCCGTGATGAATTCCAAATCAAAATAAAAAAAAAAAACTTTAAATAGATTCGTAGAGTACTCTTTATAACAAAATAATTCATTATCATAAAAATAAGTGTATTTCTAGAGGAAACAGCCTGAAGGAGAGACCATTGAGGATTTCTAACGTAGCAGCTACAGTGATAAGAAACGGAGCCACAAAAGCCATTTTATTATTCATAGGAATAATCTTTAGCTCAAACTGCAGGGATGTCACCCTGAATTACACATGGAATCAAGCATGCTAGCTAGAAACCAATCATTGTTAAGACTTAGAGGAAAAAAAAAAAAAACATTTCCATTATTAAGAAAAATGAACAGTTTTGATTAATGACTTGGATTAGCTCAAGTGATTGTGTGACTTATATGGCAATTGCTTCTTTTATTATTCTGGATTCTTGAATGTGATACATAAATTTACAAATATATGCCAGAGTGCCAGACTTAATGCCTCCCTGACAAGTGCTCAGATAAGCCAGTCTAACACACAAGGATGTGCTGACTGACCAGTTTGTTTTTAGCATTACTTTTAAAGAAATGTACATCAGGCTCCAAAATTTTAGTTGCCTCTCATTTTTATATATATAGTATATAAATATGTATAGTGTGTGTGTATATATATATAGTATATACAGATTATAGTATAGAAATTTCTTGACTAACTAAAGATTAGGAAGTACTAAGTGTCTGTTTTTCGGACTAAGATCACAAAGTGTGTGTACCTGAGCACTAATAACTGTATTAAACTCAGCTTTATTGTGATTGCTTACTGTACCAAGACAATATCCTTCTCCTGATGCTCCCTTGCAGGATTATAGCAGTAAGACTGTTTCTGTTTTTCTTAGTCAGCTTCTTGAGTATGAAGCAAAATCAGCCTTAAAATCCTACGACTGAGTCTTGCTGTGCACATAATCTTGGTCCAATGTCGTCTTTCACTCTTAAAACTACTTCAGAACCCCTAGTTGAAAACCATTCCAGCCCTTCCCAGCATGACTTTTTGGGCTCTTTGCTGGTGAATGGCTTGCTCTGTGTCATTGCCTCATCACTATGGATCTCCTGCAGGCCTCCCTGCCCCTGAACACCCTGTGCTCTTTCAGTTACAGGGTTCTGTTTGTTTTGCTTTGTTTTTGGAGAGGTGATCCTTTGCACACTGCGTGGCTCTCAGTTGTCTCTAGCTTCAGACACAGATAAATCCGTAACACATCCTATTGCTCTACTCCTGTCTCTTGCCTTCTCCAAGCCCTCTAGCTTAAATTATATGAGCTGGGGAAAACAGCATTAGATTTTGTATTGTTTCCCTAACTTTAGTATTCTGCAGTCTTGGTTCTTCCGCTCAGAAGGGTCCCCTGGTGAGCTCTATTCACAGTTCTCTAAGGAACTCATATCAGATTCCATTTTTCCTCTTGGCTCTGATTTTCTGGCTTTCTCAAGAATATGCATAGGTTTCTGCCAGGACCTTCAGGAAATTCCTGCAGACTTTCTGCCAGAAGTTGCTTCAGGAAATCCTTGATGATGTCTGGTTTCCTAAATTTGTATTTGATAGTTCCACTTGCCACTCTGTCATCTTAATAAAGAACATTTGGGAATCTCAACCCACTTTATTCAAGAGTCATGATTTTTTGAAATGAAACAACAGAAAAGGCTAAATACTAAGTCTCTAATCACCAGATTGACTGATTTAAACATATTTAAAACATTGAAAACATATTCAGTTTTATCTTTCCCCTTCAAAATATCTGTACTAATCTAAATCTGTTTACATCTGTGATTGACCTGATGTACCTTTATGCAAACTGTCTAATTGTATTATATATAGGCTTGGGTAAAACTAGCATATTAGCTAGCAAAGTGGGTAAGTACAAATGTAGACTTCTCTTGAATTTCTAGGTATTTGAATATCATAATAGTGGTGAGTGAGATGTGTAGAAATATGCTGCTTTCTCAAAGCTTGTCAGCCCAGCCTTTCATTACAAAGCATCACTATGGTTTGGAAAGTGCAGTTGAACCATCTTTAACAGATGCATGAGAAGATGAGGAGATTTTTTCATAAACTGTACATATGACATCAGCCATCTCTGATAGCAGTTCATCTTTAAGTTTCAAACACAGTTTAAGTAGGTATTTCTTTTCTGAGTATGAGTTAGGGGATCAAGAATTCTTCAGAAGTACTTTCATTTAAACCAAAAGATGAATATTCGCTCAGTGCTGCTAGTTGTCAATAATTGGCTATGTTCTTTCCTAAACATAAGCATAAGGAAACATAAGCATAAGGATTTGGTGGACTGAGAACTGTCTGGATGGCAGAGCTCAGAGGGTGGTGACAAATGGGGCCGAGTCCAGTTGGAGGCCTGTGGCCAGTGGTGTCCCTCAGAGGTCAGTGCTGGGCCCAGTGCTGTTCAATCTGTTCATCAATGACCTGGACGAGGGCACGGAGCACACCCTGAGCAAGTTTGCAGATGACACCAAGCTGGGTGGAGTGGCTGACACTCCAGAGGGCTGTGCTGCCATCCAGAGGGACCTGGACAGGCTGGAGAGTTGGGCAGAGAGCAACCTCATGACGTTCAACAAGGACAAGTGCAGGGTCCTGCACCTGGGGAGGAATAACCTAGGGGGGTCTTCAAAACCCACCTGGATGCCATGCTGTGCCATGTGCTCTAGGTGTCCCGGCTGGAACAGGGGGATTGGACTAGAGGTTCTCTAGAGGCCCCTTCCAACCTTAACCATTTTTTGATCCTGTGATAAGAAAAGGTATTGGTGGTTCATACCTGGTGTGTGCAGAGCTAGCTCTTTATTTTCACATTACCAAATCCATGAGCGCTTGGCTGGACAGTTTACATGATGTGGTGAGTGAATGGAAACTAGGCGGGGATGATACCTCGTTGCTGCTAACCAAGCTGTGCTGACTGGTTAAGAAACAGCCACTGCTGCCTCCTTAGGAAGCATCTCTGTTGTGCAGCTCTGTGACACATATAGAGGGTTTCAGTGCACGCTCTTATCAATCATCATTTTTCATAAAAAGTTGGATATTCCTACTAGTAAAGTTCTAGTATATCCTTTGTTTAAGTAACCTTAAAATAATAGTTATTACTTTTGTTTCTATTATTACAATAATAGAACTACTATTTTAAGAAAGTAATAGAATTTGTGTATACTGCATGTCTTGAAGAAATGCTATTGCTACGAAGATTTAGCTTTTCTCATGGGTCAATGTTGGAGCCTCTTCACTGTTAAGAACTAATAATATAGTAGAAGGAGTTTTTCAAGCCAAAAATTTAATCAAGAAAAAAAAGGGGGAGTGGGGGCAAGAAGAAGATGAAGACTGAAGTTTGAATAGTTTTATTAGTTTAGGACTGTCATTGCCATAATTTGTAAAGTAAGTTGTAGTTTTTCAGCCTAAGATGACAGCCTCTCTATTCTTCTGTTCATATAATTCTGTGTTTTTAGATTTTATTGACTTTAAGTACAGTTTCTTCAGGCTAACGATATAAATTACTTTTACCTGTAAAATATAACATTCTTGTTTACTTAGGAAGGGGATTCCAAGCGAACAAGTGAAGCAGGCTGACAGAGAACAGGCAAAGCGTATGGTCTACTCAGTAGTTTATGGAGCAGGTAGGCATTTATACAAATACAAATAGATCTGCAAAAGATTTTATTTCATACTTTATGAAGCTGCTATTTATTCATAACTTATACAAGTGGACTATGTTTCTAAAGATGAATGCAATTCATCTTTATAAGCATTATATTTTGACATTTATGAAGTATCATTAAATAGTATACTCAGAATGAGAATTGTCAAAATAATATAACCACACTGGCATATACAAGGGTTACTCTAATTTTATGTTGCTTTGCTGCTAACTGAGGTGTTTGGCTTTAAAATAGGTACAGTTTTGAATAGACTTTACATTTTGTCAGTGTATACAGACATAGCTGCAATGAAATTAAAGTTACTTCAGTATGGTCTCAAAACACAGTGGATCCTGATGTCTCCATTTCTCCACAACTGCAGAGGACCTGCAAAAAGACATTTCTAGAAACAGTTCTGCTTCAGCCCTGTCTAGGTAGTAGATAGCTAAAACTTACTGAAGACATTCCGTGTGCTTTCCAAAACTGCCTGCCATATTTCAAATGGTGCCCAACATTTCTCATACATAACTTTAGCTGTTCATACATGCTTGGAGTTACTTCTTCTGGGAAAAGGTACTTATTACCTGCATAAAAGCTCTCATATATTTGCTTTAGTGAACAGCTCACTAAGCTTTATGCAAGTCCTCTGGAGAAATGTAAAAGCAGTAGAAAAGAGGAGCTGTTAGAAAATTCCTCCAGGAAATGACATCCCTAGGTTACAGGCTCTATTCAGCCTAGAGAGACTTAAATCTACGTCCTGGATTCCAGGGTAAGAACACTTTCTGGACCACCTTTTGAACCTGAAACACTCAATTTGCATTGAGTAATCAGTGGTCATTGAACCAAATGCAGAGTTAGCCAAGGGCATTGAATTTAGTGGTTAGAGCATTTAGCTGGGAAGGGGTTTTAGAAAAACAAACAAACAAAAGAAACAACCCCCCCCCCCCCCCCCCCAAAAAAAAAAAAAAAAACCCACTTCAGATTCAGGTCTCTAAAATATTTTATTTTACATATAGATATGTGTGCACACTTCTACATTTTACATTAAGCTATTGCATTTTAAAACAGTAACTAAAAAAGGCCAGGTCTGAGAGCTGAGCTTCCTGAAATGTGGATTCAGCCCTTCAGAGTCTGAATCTAGAATCCTATCTCCCTTTCCAGCATGAATGCTGCCATAGCACCCTTGCCCCTTGATGCATACAGCTGCTACATGTTTTCCCTTGGCTCCCTTCATTCTCGGTGGGACAGGAAAATGCCTAAAACTGAATCAGAGTGACTCACTACCTTTCTGAATGCCCTGATGTATGAAGTCAGCAGAGAAAAGGAAATGTCCAAATGTCCAAGTTCCCGGGCTGGAGCCTCCTGCACAGGAGCCTACACTTGGTATTCATGCAATAGGGGATCTAAATGATTAGATTAAGCTGATGGTATTGGCACTCCCTCTGAACTAGTCACTGAAAATTTCAGTGTCACGGTGCTTTATTTAGGTACCTCCATTTATTTGTTTGTGCCTCCTCTCTCTCAAATTAGGGTCATTGAAGCATCTGTCAAATAGTAAAATATTCCCATTTAACGCCAGTATGATTGGACCCTAATTAAGACATAATACAGAATGATGTAGTAAATCTATTTAAATGGAAATTGGGTAGACAGAGAAAGAAAAAAGGATACCTAAATTTAATGTACTAGATTCTACACAAACTTTTCCTCCCTTCAAAAGACTGGTAACTTTTTTGTAAGGAGACATTTTGTCATAACTGAAGAGTATAAATCATAATTATTTTTTAATTGTGTTTCTTCTGGGATTAAGAAATGCAGAACCAATTCCTGAGGAATTTACTTGTATTATGCTTACTAGATTCAATAGAATAAATAATAATTATTATTTAATAAATAATATTTGAATTATTTGTGTTCCATTTTCTTAGCTTTAGATTGCACATTATTTTCCTTATTTTCCAGATATTTTCTATATTCTCAGAGGATAAAACATAGTCTAGTAAGGAAAGATGAGTGTCACCATGCCTAGGAATTGGTACTTCAATAAATATACCCGGTATTGAGAGGGATGTCAGTGTTACAATCTGTTTGTTTGATCAGGAGCAATTTGGTTCACCTGCTTGCAGTCATATTGTAAAGTAGAGCAAATAACAGCCAAAGTCTCTGTAAAATAAGGAATTGATTCTATTCAACTTCAGTATGTTCAAATCCTGAATTACACAGAACATGGAGATATATCAAAGTGGTTAGATTAAAAACAGAGAGATGGATAATGATATTTTCAGTTTTGAAATATGATATTACCGAATGGAGAACATTAAAGTCATGGGCTGTTGCTAACAGTTCCCCAGGCACAGAGACCTGGAAGGCAACATTGCTCAGCAGGGCATGTGCTTCCACCTTGTCAGAAATGTTCTGACACAGCTGCACAGACCCTCTCTTTGCTCCCCATGAACTGTATTTCCTAGGAACCTTTCAGACTTCCTTATTACTATTGCTGTTTAATTTTCCTGCACTTTTTAATATCAAATATTATAGTAGATATGTATATCATATCTACTATGATATCTATCTATATCATATATAGATATGTATATCAATAGTTCTTTAGATGGGAAATGTGGATAAAATTAGGTGTTGCAGAGCTATAATGAAGCTAGAGCAATATCCTGGCTGTTCATGATATGTACTTTACCAGGTAGATGTGTCATTTTTTGAACAACAAAGGAAAAGCCCTTTCTAATTAGATATCTAATGAAAGTGCAGACTTGTGCCCTTAGCTCAGCTAAGAGGCATCTTAGCTGTATTGTGAATTTCCTATTCTAGTACTTTGTCCAGACTGGTGTTCCTGGATCTCGCTACAGATCCTGACATGACTGAGGAGAAAATGCTACAGAGTTGTCCTGAAATGCACATCAGGCTGACAGCGATGGCATTTAGGTGCCTGAAATCTTCTCTTTCAAAAATGTTGGATAATTTCTCTTGACAATCTTACCGTGACAACAACTATTTTGTGTCTGTAATGCCTTGAGACATTTCATCTCAGCTTATGTTATTTGCAGCACAGTGCTCGTTTTCTCTTGCTGTGTAGCTGACATAAATATATCTGTCTTTCAAACCTCATCTGACTAAGATTGATGTGTGTTTTATTTTCTACTGGAACTATTTGGCTTATAAATGTGTTTAAACTATAGCTTTCAGCTTATATTTTCATACTCTGGAAAACTGTCTTCAGCATTTTTCCGTCCTGTTTTTATCTGATAAATGCTTTTGTATACAATATAACTTATATTGTGCATCTATACCTTGTCCAGCAGCTATTATTCCTGTATCCAAACACTTCTGTTCTTCCTTTTTCAACACTTATATCTTAAAACTTGAATCCAGTTTAAGGTCCAAAATTTTAGGCACATGACGGTTTGAAATCTGTTTAACTGAAACTCCCTAACACCTTTCTAAGACCAGACCAATTTGTCTGATTACTTTGGCCATACAGCTTTTCTATGACTTTTTTTCACCCTATGCAAAACTTTTTACCAAACTCAATTGGCCACATTGCCTTTTTTTCCCCAGACTTTTATTCACATTTCTGTTTATTTAAAATTGGCCTCAAGTTCTTCATCATTCTGTAAATTTCAGCACTTAATTAGTAAATGATACTTAAAACCACAGGCGGTATTCTATATACAAGAAAGGTATAAAGCACATTATAAGTATAAAATATAGTTAGGATTTTCAGAACGTGCTTAACCCCTAACTGTTCAGTAAACCAGTCAGGCTTAAAGTATAAAAAGTCAAGTACTTGCTTTTTTGAAATATGTTGTAGTGTGTCAAATCCATACTCTTTTGTAGAAATAAATAGATTAATAATAGTCCACTAGTTGTGGAATATAAGGGTGCTACCTTTTATGTAGTAATAGATTGGTGGATATCTGTATTGCTTTATTATACACCAGGTAAGGAACGACTTGCTGAATGCCTCGGAACTACTTCTCTTCAAGCCAGTCACTTTATAGATAGTTTTATGCAAAAATACAAGAAAGTTCATGAATTTACGAAGATGACCATTGAACAATGTCGAAATAAAGGTAAGTCAATGTCTTTAAGCGTATTTCTGCTTACTCATCAGTACTGTGTCATAATAATGAAGACAGGTTCAGCTCAGCCAAAATTCAGGTCTTTAAAGGACAGGGGAAAAGATCTAGTAAGCTATAACATTATATAACTTCCTGTAGAAACAAGTTGGTCCTCTTTTAACTCCAAGAGGAGGAGGTTGTTAAATCCATAGCTACTTCTTTCCAGGTAGTTATATTTACTGCAGGCACTTTTTATCTCTGGTACTTGGCAAGAAAAGCCTTCTTGTCACATGAGGTTTTCAGTGCGAGGCACTCATTTCTAAAGCTACTTTCTGCAAAGCAACAATTTGTCAGAAATTGCAGTGAGAGTGTAAAATAGCAGATTACATGTTAAGCACCTGTTGCATGTAAATACCACAGCACACTAATGGCCCGAGATCTGTGCTTATTAATACAAAATTCTTAGTTCAGGTGATACCTTGCAAAGGTTAGAAAGATCTGGAGAGATTTGCATGTTGCCAGATTGAAACAGTATCTGTTTTTGCTGTGTAGTGATGGCAATATGGTTCTCTGGAGAATCTAAGACAACAATTCACATGGAGTTGGTGAAAGGATATCTTAAGGATGGTTCCAAGGCTTTTTAGCTGTTTGCTCTGTCTTGTACTTTTTGCTCTCAAACCTGAGCAAATCATTGCACCTTTTTTTTTCCTAGCAATAGCTGGAATTTTCAACGTGCGTAGCTGTCATCAGCATTCGCTCCTGCCCTTCCTTTCTGCCTCCTTTGAGCTCTGACACTGGGAGGGAGGGAGTTGGATGGTGCTGGATCCAGTCTGCCTGTACACCTACATGATGTTAGCTTGCAGTGTGAATAAAAATTACACTTTTCAAAGAGTTCTTTACTGTTAAGCATCACTTTTTAGCCTGATTTCCTAAAGCAAAATGCTTTGCATTTGCGCTGTTTGCCTGTCTTTGCTTGCTGGTCCCCTACCTGGCCAAGAATTTTGAAACTGTTTCCGACAGATTTGAAAGAGGGGCATGGTCTCCAAAATTACTTCCAAAAGTGTGAACAAGCTGCATCTTGTGCTGTCTCTGATCAACTGAGGATATCAGAGAGATCTGAACGTTCTCTCAATGAAATAACCATACAACATCAAAGTGGTTTTTAAAAGCTCCGTTTCCACTAACCATATTAAAATATTAAATTGCATTGAGTAACTGCAAAAACATATAACATATTACAAAAGAATTTCTTAATCCTAATTTTTAGTCATTGAAAGAAATGCTAATGTTTATATAAATCTCTCAAGGTTATGTGGTTTCCATAATGGGCCGTAAGAGACCACTGGCTAATATCAACGCACAGGATTACAAACTGCGGACCCAAGCAGAGAGGCAGGCTGTCAATTTTGTTGTTCAAGGTAAAAAACCATCTACCTGCATACATACCTACATCCATACCTGTCCACATATCTATCTGTCCATTTTTGATGCTCCTAGGCAAATAGTTCCATAATCTCAAAGGAATGCATGATGAATTTCCTTTTAAAAGGCAAGTTGAATGAGATATCTTAGCTTTCCAAGGTGCAAATAAACAGTGTCATCCTGCTCTGCGGTAGCTCTAGGTATGGATAGGTATATAGATATACATAGGTATGGATGCAAACTATATATATAGTAAATTATGAGAAGTAACCATTCGTAATGGTGGTTCTGCGGGCTGGATGGTGCTCACTTTTCCTGGGTTTCTGCTGCCCCGGCGAGCCCTGCTGAGCGGGCAGCGCAGCAGGAGCGATGACCCTGACTCCTCGGGCACATCCTGCACTTCCAGCCATCTGTCCAAGGAGCTCAGGGCTGAGGCAATGCTATCACGGGATAGTCTGCCAAAATCTGCACGTGCCTGTGGCACAACCCACAATAATAACATTACAGTGCTTCATTGCAAGCTCAAAGAAGAGGAGGAGGACAAACCTGATGAAAATCTGCTGGATTTTTTTTCTTACTGAGTATTTCCCAGTTCAATAGTCTCCAGGAATGTGCAGTGTGATATTTCAGACATGATTCAACTCTAGCTAAATCTGTAGAATAAGTTATGTATTTTCCTAAGGTATTAGTAAACCTGAAAGCTATTACAGTTACTTGGGAGAACTCTTCTCTGGCAGCTTGCTGGTTTGTACGCTCCAAATATACTGGGAAAATAATTATATCCACCAGGGTCACATGGGAAAGCAATATCTGTCCAGTCTATTATTTTATCATGGTAATAATAAGAAATGATTTAAAAAAAGAAGGATTGTAAGACTAATTTTTTAAAGGACTGTTTAAAAGGATTGTATTTCAGCAAAACAGAATCAGAATACTTTTCCAAAAAATATGCTGTTTCAGTTAAACATACAAAAGTTGCATCAAAATCAACCAGAAAAAGATTTAAATATTTTCTTTTAAAATATATAAATTATAACTTTCAAGAAACATATATTAGAAAAAAAAATTCCTTTTGAAAGTTACATTGTATTTTATTTTCAGTGTTTCATGAAAAATGCATAATAGTATTCTACATGTATACGTACGTAATACATATGTGATATATGTATGTATGTGGATGAACTACTCAATTTTATAGTTTTATTTTCATGATCACTAAAAATGTTTCTGTTTGACCTTGACAGAAATATCTCTACTTACTTTCTATATCAGAGAGTCCCTATTTCTGATGTATTGAATCAATCTGACATATGTCATTTGCACCCGAAAACAAGATATGAATTTGGGCTAAATTCACAATTGGGCATGGACATCTCATCAGCAGGGGATCTCCCCTTCTAATGTGGTTAACAAGAAGTTTTGAAAAAAAATGTTTCGAGCTTTTTTCCATCATTTAATTCATTTTTAGGTTGATTTGAATTCAAATTTAAAGCAAGATCATTTTGGAAATTCAACACTTTTTATAAAACGGAAGTTCTTAGCTCCTGGCCAGACTTCAGTTAAATTAAACTACAGTTAACTTCTAAATGTATATTATTGCTTTCTGTTTTAAAATGAACATCTAAGTATTTAGTTTATTAATCTTATGATCTGTTTAATATATTATATCAATTGACTCTGCTAGTACGGTCAATGCTAATAGTTCAAAATCTTTAAAATCTTTGAACATCTTTTATTGCTATGACATTCTTCTATTAAAGTATGTTTTCCCTTTGCATGCTTTAAATTAAAAGCAGATCACTTTCTTTTGTAGGATCTGCAGCTGATCTGTGTAAAATGGCTATGGTTGAGATTTTTACCTCTGTTGTCATTTCTCCAACTTTAACAGCCAGGTAAGTGATTAATGACTGAAAAATGTTTAATTTTAAAATTAAGAAAAACACATTGAAATGAACGTCTTTCTGTCATTTTAAGCAGCTGAGGAAATACTGTATATGTCTCTGAGTTTTAACAAGCAAGGACTTGTAAGAGGGTATTATATATTCAAAGTTATAGCTTTGTGCTAAAATGGGCTTTTTTTGTAAATCTCTCTTGACATGATGAATTACCCTTGGGGCCATTTAAACTCTGTCAGATCTAGTTCAGTGGTAGTTCAGGATCTTTGAAATCAAGCCCACTGATCATATCCTTCCTGTATTTTGAGTGTATTGTATAATGGTAATTGAACATTCAACGGGCTGGGAAAAAAAAACAGGAATCAGGAAACCAGTGCCCAAGCAAAATAAATGAACATTTTTTTTCATCTTGTGTAGATGGCTTTCCTTTCCTGAAGAAAAGTTAGGTCATGACGACTCTCTTGTGTCATGACTGTGGTAGCTGGGTGAGAGATCACAGAGCATCCTGGAGCTTCACACACCCCCAGCAGGAATACTGAGGCCCAACTTTCCCACAGTAATGTATGGACTTCACACACCCCCAGCAGGAATACTGAGGCCCAACTTTCCCACAGTAATGTATGGAGCGGAGGTGCAGGCAATCAGTCAGCATCACTATTTGCCATGAAAGAAAGATGCTCTGAAGGCAAATGTGCAGAGCCCCCCCACCAAATTCTTCTTGAAGGGACCTGAAGCTTTTGGCAGCTATTGCCATGTCTGCAAATGTTGGGGGATGTTTCCTTCTCTCAACAGAAAATTTTATGGTGATTGCTCTTTGTGGTTGCTCTTTTATAGAGTGTGTGGCTAAGGAGGCAACACATGATGTTTTTCATGCTGAATTCCCTTGCATTGCAGAAGCATAAGTGCTGCACAGGACACATGAGTATCATGCCTTTGCTTCTTATTCTTACTAGTGTTTAATATCACAGCTTGGAAAGACCAAGGCTGCAAGGACATTTAAAAGGCAGACCACTTTAAACTGGGATTTTGATCTCCTGCCAGCTGTTAACAACTGTATGACTTGCTAAAGGAGGACCTTTAATGGCTCCTTGCTGTAATATTTAGGAGATAAACTGAAGAACCAGGCTTGTCAGAAAGCACAAGAGCATTGGGCATCCTGTGGACACTCCCCTGAACAGAGGCTAGTTCAGGATCCACGGGCATCACTGAGGTCTCAGTGCAGTGCTGCAATCATGGTCGTGATCCTAAGATCCTTTGTAAAGCACTTGGAAAATATTGTTAAAAGGAAGTGCATGCAGAATCAGTGCTGTTGTTGTAGCAGTGGGAATTCACAGGAGTGCTTCCACAAGGAGAAATACAATGTCTGCTATTATCATCACATCAGACCATACTCATTCCAAAGATAGCACGTTACTAGCTTTCCTTGTATCTTCATCTCCCTATAAGTATTTTTTTTTCCTATTAGAACTTCTAATTTTGGAAACAGGGTTTTCACTTTGAACAACATATCAAAGAGAAATTGCTTTTATATATATTCTGGAATGAAATATTCCCTTATTTACAATTATCAGAGATGGTTTCTTGTAGAAGACAGGTAAATAGTAGCAAACAGCTAACATTTTGTCTTTTATTTATTTATTTTTAATTTCCAAGGTAATGACACAAAATGTTAGCTGTTAGCCCCTATTTGGTTAGACACAGGTCTTTCAGTTTTTAACATTAATTTACAGGTCTGTTTAGAGCCTTCTTCAGTGGTAGAGCTACATACAATTTGCGTATTTGTAAATTGTTCTAATGTGAGCAACATCTGATCCAGCAGTATCTATAGCTTCGGCTTTTGTGCAGCTAATAAGCAGTAGCTTTTCAGCTCCTGTTTGCACATATGATATTCCATCTGGAAATTAGTGAAAGGAAATCAGGTTACATCTTCATGAAGATCAATCACAGAGGTCTCACCAGCGAACACCAGGTTCCAGCACAACAGAGCGATGGCTCTTCAGACAACTGGCAGCCTCCTCCTCCTCTTTGTGTTTGTTCACCTTTTAATTCAAATAACAGCCTCACAGCTCAGGCTGCTGACAATAAAAAAAAAAAAAATCAATCAGATGCCTAGAATTAATTTTACAGAAGAGAAGGGAGGCAGCAATAAATGTGATATTTATGATATTTATGATTTATGATATTTATGGTAGCACTGTGGGTTTGTTACTGGCATCAGTGCTCAAATCTGTGCAGTTCACATGACACTGATGAGGAGCGAAAATGATTTCTTCAGACTCCTTCCATATTGTCCACATCTTTGTTAGATGCTATTTTGCAGCTGCTGGCCAAGTTGCTTACTGAAAAGAAGCGGCTGACATATAAATTATTCAAGGAGCAGCTTTTACCTGTCTGATGCAATTCACCAAACCTCCATACAGCATTTCCTGCAGGCAGATGATAACAAAGGCCCTTCTGAAGTGTGATCAAGGCACACGGGAGCAGCCGAAGGAAAAATTTATGGTGTTTATTAAAGCATAACGGTGCTCAGTGAACTCAGATGGACAACTGCAGTTATTTTCCGTTTAAAACATTGGTACAGTTGCAGATCCATGGAAATTTTGTATGAATTAAGGATACTGGCAACTTATGGAAAACCTGCTGTATAGATACCTATTAAAATTACTGCTTTGTAAGCTGAAAATAATACAGACGCTCTCTGATGTCTTTATGATGCTACATGGGCTTCTCAGCAAGCTTTCGGTCATTAAAGATGGTAATATTCCAACAACATGCAAATTAAATTGAACAGGTCTACAGAAACATTGAGTAATTTGGCGTGGATCCAGCCGCTCTCCTTTCTCACCCATTTGTTGTTCCTGCAGCACTGGACCTGTGCCACAAACACAGCTTTGCTGCTCAGCGTGGCCAGAACCTAATTAAAGAAACAGGTTCAGCGACAGGCCAGATATAAGGAAATGATCATATAAGGAAGAGCAGCCAGTATGCAAGAGGAAAAGACAAAATCTTATTCTTGGTCTCACCATATATATATATTTTGTAGCAATGGATGTTGCAGGTTTGATATGTCTCTGTCCAAGAACAAACACTTTAATCAGTCTAATGATTTCTGAGTTGCTGAGCTGTAAATGCAGGTTGCTTCTGCACAGAAAGCTGAATTAGCAAGACGGACCCCTGGCCATGCCAGGAACAAGCACTGGATTAGGTGGCCTGGATAATTTTCTGACCAAGTCACTTGACAAATCTCAAGTTGCTCTTTTGTTGGAAGTCTTGGCTTTAGTCACGCATGAGAAGAGCCCAGGGGCGTTTTTATAAAGGGTGTAGGGATTCAAATATTAATACTTTATTAAGTGATATTAGTTTTTTTTAGTTTTGTTCAAAACAAAGACCAACTGACTAATTCATAGCTTCAGCCAAATACACTCAGTCAGCTCCTTAGTGCTGCTGCTACGTGCAGTGGTTTTGTTTAGTTCTGGAAGTAAATCCTATATCCCTTCATCTGTTTCTCGAGAAATTAAAGAATTGTTTTAACCCTGGTCTCTTCTGTGACTAATATCTGGGATTTTCAAGTGAATGTTTATTGCTTTGCCCACAGCCCCAGTTTATGGTTGAAGATCTGCTCAGAGCTATTAATTCTAGCAAAAGAGTTAACTTTTATCCTTGGCTTGGTAATGGGGAAATAGAAGGAAAATATAGATGCTTTTCCCTCTGCTTGAGAGGAGAATCAGATTTTTCGTTCACAGGGCAGCCATGGGCTTTTGTTTCACCGTAGGCAGAAGGAAACATCTCAGGTCATGTTGCTGTTTTACAAGTCAGTGTGAGCTCCTCAGAGCTCCTCTCCTAGCCCAGTGCTGCTCTTTGCTGTCCAAAGAGCCCAACCAACACCATTTCTAGGGCTGCTGTGCCTTAGCAAAACCATATCCTTCTTGCTCAACATGGTTAATATGCTTATAGATGACAGCTGAAAAGGCCATTTGTCATGTAGCAGATTTTAAAATGTTCATTTATATGGATTATTCAGCACAAGTGATACTTTATATATTAAAAACTTCATAAAAATGTTTTTTACAGATCACCTTTTAACTTGGTTATAAAGCACTTTGTGTCTATGTGAAAATTCTTTGCAGTTTCCTGTTCTTTGTGATATAGTCACCAACAAAATATAAATCTCACCATTTAGCTGATTTTTGTAGTTTAAATGTTAAAATGTCATGGCCTTCTTAAGGAAACTGAAAGGAGTAGCTTAATGTACACTCAGGTAACATCTATACATGCCTGATATATCTTAAACTACAGCTTTTATAGTGTTAAGAATCCTCATACATGCAGATTCAAGAGAGACTTGGAAAATGTACAAAAGGTACAAAATTATCTTAAGCTGCTTCTTTTTTTTTGTATGACAATTTAATAGGCACTATTTCCACTAGAATTTGTGTTCTTTGGTGGGAAACTGTGCATCAGTTAAGCAACAAGTTGGGCTTGTAGTATCTAAAAATATATGTATATAAATACAGGATGTCAGCGTAGGGAACAGAGATTTCTAAGAAGAATTGGATCCAACATCTGCCCGGTTCCAAGTGTGGTCAGGAGCAGAGGTTTTAGGAGGAAGGTGTCAGCTTTGTAGACAGAACCTTTTCATCTATAAATTTTCACCTTGCTCTCTGTGATTATCGAGGTGAGCCTAAGTTCTGAGATATGAGACTTAAAAGTCTTCCCCCCACATCACTGCAATTATTTTTTTTTAACTTCTTAATGAAATCCATAGATGTTATGTGGGTGGCTCTTCTAGCCTTTTCTGGAAATGTGTTTTATTACAGACTTTGCAAAACAATATCTTCTTTTATTAAATTTGAATTTGTTACATTTGAATTTCTCAAAAACTAAAAATAAATATTATCTCGTTCTTGAGTTACAGGGCAGAGAATAGAAATTTCCCATCTACTTTTGATTTATGATTTTTTTTTGTTTATCTGATTTCAAAATCACCTTAGTAGTTC